TCGTCGCCGCCCGCGCCTTGCATGAGGGCCTCGGCGTCGCCTGGCGTCGTGCCAATGCAGCGCCAATGTTCGCCCGCGCTGCGCGCACGAGACATTTGTAGTCGCGAAGACCATGCGTCCGCGCAGCTCGCCTCGCGAGCGTCTCGAGGACTCGGGTAGTCGCCGGGTGCTTCCGCCCGAAGGTGGAGCACACAGCGGGGATGCACAGGATCCCCGAGTCTTGGAGGGCTTGCAGGTGCGCTCCGCAAGAGTCCAACTTCCGCTGCCCCATCGCTTCGCAGCAGTCTTCGCCCGCATACTGGGAACGCGGGGGCGCCACGCCGATGTCGATGGTAGATCTCAAGCCAGTCTGCGACGACAACGCGTAGATGTCGGCTGGCCGGAGCGTCGGCGCGTCAGGGCAGTGCCCCTCCACCTCGGTCTCGGCCGATGCGTCGGCCGATTGCGCCAGCACGAAGACTGCATCTCGCATCTCCTTGTGTCCTCGCGTGGCCTCGGCCCGGGTGCAGCACGAGGCGCGGCAAGCCTGCTGGTCGAGGATGGCCGCGCCGCAGCCGCGGCAGACCGTTGCTTTCTCGACGATGATGGCGCCGAGCCGCGCCTGGAGAGCGATGGCGTACATCTCGGCCTGGACCACGGGCCCGTGTTTCTCGGTCGGGCGCCACATCCAGTCCGCATTGGCGGCGGGGCCCCCGAGCTCCTTGAGGCGTCGCAGGTTCTCCCACTTGCCCTGCGCTGCGAACCTGCCGCACAAGTCGCCCAGCCGCTGGCAGTCGCAGACCACAGCCATACGCCGCTGCAGTTGGTGGGGACCTCCACGCAGCGCCGCGCAGTCCTCGTCCACCGTGCCGGCCGCGGCCCCCTCGGGCACTGCAGCGCCGCCATTATGACTCGCCTGTCCGCCGGACACCTGGGCGAAGGAGGCGAGGGCCGCCGCGTCGGCGCCCCGGCAAAGCTCGCGCACCTCTCGCACATGCTCGTCCAAGAGCCCGGCCTCGACCGCCCGTTGCGCTTCTTGCGTTTGGCGATCGTAACGCGCCATGGCTCTGTTGACCAAGTCCCGGAGACCATCGAGGCGCCGCAAGTCCTCCACGAAGCGGCGCGACGCCACGAAGGCGAGGCGCGCGAGGGCCTGGGCGCTGCGAAAGCAGAGGCCGCCTGGCGCGACACCGAGCGCGGCCTGCATCATGGCCTCTTCTCTTCGCTGACGTGGCCGCTCAGAGCCTCCTCCACGAAGGCGCGCTGTTGAAGGTCGAAGGCGGCCGTGACCTCATCTGGGACGACGTCGCCGACAGTGCGCAGGAAGTGCGAGATCTTGGCCACGTCCGCGCAGCACCGCCCGAGCACCAGCTCGGCTGCCGGCCGCTCCAGCTCCCGCAGGGCGGCGTGCAACTGCCCCACCTCGTGGGTCATCTCCCGGACAAAGGCGCCGACAAAATCGGCGTCGCCGATCGGGGGGCCCAGCATCTCCGCACCGGCGCTGGGCGGAAGGATTTTGCACGCGTTTGCAGTGTTCAACGCGGCCCATGCATCGCATAGCTCTGCCACGAAGCTCGGGCGGCACATCAGCTTGACCGTCGTCTTCGCGTCGACCCCAGTGGCCCGCGCAATGCCGCAGCGGGCCGCTGCCGCGCCCAGCACAGCGAACACCCGGTCCGCAGCAGCTCTGCGGCAGAACACCTGGCCGTCGCCGGCAAACCAGCAATCCCAGACTTGAACGGCGCCGGCGAGCGCGACCCTAGCCTCGCTGACACGTCGCCTAAGCGTCGCCCCGCAGCGCGTGGACCCGAAGGGATCGCCCTGCTCAGCTCCGCGGTCGACCTCGACAGAGCCCCCATTCGGCAGGAAGACCTCCGCCGGCTCGGCCTGGCCCCACTCGGCCCACCGCAGCAAGTCGGGCACTTCCTCGCGGATGGCCTCCTGGATAACCTCCCAAGTGAGCTCGCAGAAGCAAGTCTTCAGTCCACGTCGAATACGAGCCACGAACCGAAAGAAGCACGCTCTCGGACCACCTCCTCGATGACTCGCCAGGAGTGGATCGGGATCTCGGCGCCCCCAGGGATCGCGACCGCATTGGCGCGCCTCGATCATGGCATTGCCAATCCTGGCGCGCGCCCGTCAAATCAGGTGCCCGTTGACCGCCCGCCGGAAATACTCGCCGTTTTCTTCTTCAAGAAGACGAGCCTTGACTCCAGCGACAACCTGCATGAAGACGGCAGGCTGCCATCGGCGCCTTTCACGTCGAACATATCCCGCGCGCGCGAATACCTCCTGCTCGCGCGGCGGCGGCGGCACGACAAGAAGCCCCGCTCGTGCCCCAGCCGCGTGCCCGACGGCCCTGGCGCAGTGAGCGCGGCGAATCGAACGCCATGGAGCGGTTTCCACGCTGCCCGGGCGTTACCGTCAGCATCCACGTCACGATCTCCCTCGGCAGCCGCCCCTGCACGACCCGCGCCACCGCCAACGTCGCCGCTGCCTCTGGCCAAGTCTGCGCCCGCAT